ACTGGCATCCTGGTGGAAGTGGTTGAGGTTTACGCAGCGTCACCAGCTCCCTTGCTCTCCAACATGGTGGTTGATTGCAGCCCTACCGACAACATCGTAAGTAGAACGCTCCCTTTTTGTAGTTTTATGAAATTTTAGTCGCTATTTTTCTTTTGGGCTCAGTGAGATCTTGCATTGAAGAAAAAAATCAAACCTAGCGGATGTAAAATCACATTTTTTTCCTTTTAACTGCAAGTGATAGGTACCTCGAAGTTGTGCTTTGGGCAGGATCTGAGTGGGCCTTGCGTGAGGAAGGATATTCCATCGTGGCACAGGCGGAGAAGCCATACAACAGCCTGCAATAGGAAGGATAGATAGATCGCACACTCTTGAATACAGCTTAATAATGTTTGATAAGGAGTGCTGTTGTGTGAGAAACAGATAAGCAGACAGAGACAGAGACGGAAAGAGGAGCCTTTCGATACTTCTCTCGTTTCTTCTCTCCTTTCGCTGTGGCCGTCCAGACGAGGTAGAAATTAAACAACGGTTGTTTAAAAGATATATCAGTAGTTGATATTCATATTCACTGGTTAAATAACGATGAGCTACGTGAAACATTAGGATACAGGAGCATCTTGAAGTGTTCCTGCGTTTCAAGTGAAACGCATGAGAAACCAACCTTATTAAATGTAAAACTTCCTGCCGCTCGCACATCAACTTAGAACACTGTTTATTTTCTCGGGTTCAAAATAGAAATGCATCACTTTCCGATTTGCGTCAGGCACTTGATCCTCCTCGCGAGCTCGTATTTCAGGCGTTTCCTTGCATCACTCTGCACGTAGTGATATTTAACCCTAGGTTATAACCTAGGTTATGATCCCTGATTATGACCTAATTTTGGATTTTCATTTTCCCACGCTAATGAAGTTATTGGTGTGCCAACATATGTAAGCAACAAACGGCGACTGAATGCCAAAGTTCTTACGTGGAGTATGAACTGTCACTTCGTGGGAACAGGTAGCTCTGGGGTCGCTGGCTGGGTCTCATTACCAACCGCAGATGGATGAAGGTCGACTCAGAGTATGGAGATCAAATGTCCAGATACTCACACATTGGAGGAGGAATACCCATTCGCTGGGGAGGAATACCCGCCCGTTGGGATCCTTTAAAGTCGAGTGCCCACTCTCTGGCCTATCCAATTGGAATTGGATAGGCCTGTGCATTTTCTTGAGATTACTGCCCATTAGCTGGAATACCTGCTCGCTGGACGAGGTTTACCAGCCCTGTTATTTCTCTCGCATGTAACCTAATGCGATGATTATGCGGGCCGGTCATTGCGCTCTTGATGTATGTATGCTTAAATGGAGATAGAGAATATGATTATAAACAAAGAGATGGATTTTTTTTACAAATGTAAATATATATATATATATATATATATATATATATATATATATATATATATATATATATATATATATATGTATATATATATATGGAATGAATATAGAATGAAACGGGACAGTATAGAGTCATCTGTTGGTAAGCTTTTGCATTTGTAGTGCAGCTGATAATGGCGAGAAAAGGAAGTAAGTGTAATATTTCTTGCATGTTTTTCAATAACGATTCAGTAGAAACTGATATACCAATCTTGCTGTAGTACAGTTCCAAGATAAGATTAACATCCATTTGCGGTGATAAGATAAAGTCAGATCAGAACGACGTTGATAATCAGACAAGGCGTGAGAATTGCATTTGATATTGATGCTAGTCTAGTTGCTCGTTTATGAGAACAGAACTTGAGAATCATTACAATCGACGCTACATTTTCAGAAACAAAAGTTTAACTCTTTCAAGTCGTGTGCGTTTGGTTCACAAGGCTCATTGATATACTGATAGGCGGCCATTATACCTTCGGCGGGAAGACTTCGCTGCATATCATGAATGATCAATGAAATCCGATCGGGTGCCAGTCTGTGATCGGCGAGAGGATTTCTGGGTTTGTTTATTCATTATCTTTGTTCGTTTTTATTTGTTCAGTTTTTACTATTTCTTCCTCCTTCCGGCTGCTGTTCAATCGATACTTTCTTTTATCACCATTTTTCACTTTGGTCGTTCAGTATCATCCATTCTCTGTAGGTTTCGTCTCCTTGAGTCTCCCACTTCCACATTTGATATATTATTTAAAATTTATGACCATACTTTAACATATACGAAATGAGTTTGCATATAATACTTCTGATGTGGATAAATTCTACTGCATTCTGCATTCAATGTGTTGCGGGAATATGCGAGTAAATTAACGAAAGATTAAATTCAATAATGCTTAGGAAGAGTCTTATAGTGTCAGTCGCTTTGCATGCAGATAGTGCATCCATTCTGGTTATAGAGCCTGAATCCTAACGCAAACTTTATGTATTACCGTTCCATGCGTCAACCACTCAGTTGCTGGATTGTTCTTTGTTTATTTATTTATTTATTTTTTTTCTTTTCAGATTTTATTCGTTGTTCTTACCCTCAT